AGAGACTCTGGGATGGCAGTCTATGACCAAAACAAGTACAAAGCAAAAGAAGGTGAACAAGTAGGAACAGAGATCCAGACAATGAGAAGGTCAGGTAGAATTCAGGATAAAATAGACTGCAATAAATGGACAGAGAATTCAATGGCCATAAGGCAACCTGAAAGAAAATTAACACTTCACAGCATACCAAGAAAATGAGAAACCAAGAAGAATATGAAAACATTAAAACTATAAGGAAACGAACAAGAAAGAGCACACAAATCATTAAGTCAACAGGGAAAGACAAACAGAACAAAGAAGCAGCAACACCACAAAAATAAACGAATATAATGACAGCAAATAATCAATACCTATCAATAAATACAGTGAACATAAATGGATTGAACGTACCTGTTAAGAGATGGAGGGTGGCAGAATGGATAAGAAAATAAGATCCTACAATATTCTGACTGCAAGAGACGCAATTCACACACAGAGACAGAAACAGATTAAAAGTGAAATGATGGGAAAAAATGTACCAAGCTAACTGCAATAAAAAGCCAACAGGAGTGGCAGTGCTAATCTCGGATAAAATAAACTTTAAGGCAAAAGCCAGCATAAGAGACAAAGATGGACATTATCTCATGATTAAAGGGACAATAGAACAAAATGAAATAACCATATTAAATATCTATGCTCCCAATGAAAGAGTGCCAAAATATCTAAAATTATCTCTAAGAGATTTGAAGAAATAATTAGATGAATCCACAATAATAGTGGGTGACTTTAATACACAACTTTCAAAAATGGATAGAACAACCAGAAAGAAACTTGACAAAGACAAGAAGAACTAAACAACACAATCAACCAACTGGACTTTATAGATGTGTACAGAGCATTCAACCCAACTACACAATACACATTCTTTTCAAGTGCACATGGAACATTCTCCAGAATAGACCACGTTTTAGGCCACAAAACAAGTCTCCATAAATTTACAAATACCAAAATACTATAAAGCATCTTCTCAGACCACAATGCTATCAAATTAGAAATCAAAAATTAAAAAACAAGGAAATCAAGACAAATACAGGGAAACTGAACAACACCCTGCTGAAAAGCAACTGGGTAGTAGAAGAAATCAAACGTGAATTTGCTAAATTTCTAGAAATCAATGAGAACGAAAACACAACATACCAAAATCTTTGGGACACAGTGAAAGCTGTGCTGAGAGGACAATTTATTGCAATGAAAGCACACATACAAAAAGAAGAAAGAACTAAAATGAACACATAACATGGCTTTTACAACAATTAGAAATAGACCAACAGAGGGAACCCACAGTCATCAAAAGAAAAGAAATAATAAAGATCAGAGCAGAAATAAATGAGATGGAAAACAGAAAAACGATAGAAACAATCAATAAGACAAGAAGGTGGTTCTTTGAAAGAATTAATAAAATTGACAGACGATAGGCAAACCTAACAAAAGAAAAGAGAGAGATGACACAAATAACACGCATTAGAAATCACAGGGGTGATGTCACAAAGGAACCAAAGGAAATCAAAAGGATAATAACAGAATACTATGAAGAGTTGTATTCCAACAAATTTGAAAACGTAGAAGGGATGGATACATTTTTAGATAAACACAACCTATGTAAACTTACTTGCAGTGAAATAGAAAAGCTGAACAGAACCATAACAAAAGAAGAAATCGAACAGGCCATCAAAAGACTCCCAACCAAAAAAAGTCCAGGCCCAGATGGCTTCACAGGT